ATCATCATCATCATCATCATCATCATCATCATCATCATCATCATCATCATCATCATCATCATCACCATCATCTTCATCATCATCATTATTATTATTATTACTCTTATTATCATTGTTATCATTATCATTATTATTATCATTATTATCATTATCATTTTATTATCATTATTATTGTTATTGTTATTGTTATCATCATCATGATCATAATCATCATGATCATCATGATCATCATGATCATCATGATCATCATCATGATCATCATCATGATCATCATCATGATCATCATCATGATCATCATCATCATCATCATCATCATCATCATCATCATCATCATCATCATCATCATCATCATCATCATCATCATCATCATCATCATCATCATCATCATCATCATCATCATCAATATAATCATCATCATCAATATTACGATTATCATTTTTATTATTTTGTTCCTTAATCAATTCTAACCTCTATGAACATGTAACTGAAATCCTTTTGCCAAGTACCTGGCATCTTACACAAGTACATCAATATCTTTTTCACAGCAAACTTTGAGTACCTGCATTACAGCCTCATTAATCCTCAGCTTGTTATATTATCTTACTTATTATCAGAATTTGAGTATGATATCCATCATTTACCGATATATGTTAACAATGACAGCAGTAAAAATGTTATGGGAAAAAAAAATTATCTTATAGTAAATCACTATAGTTCTCTTGATTGCTTTGTATATTTAGAAAATTATTTTATTCACAGGAGTTATTAATAGCAATATAGAAATTGTGTTAATAAAGATACCACTTAAACTACTGAACTTAAAAGTGATTACATACTTGTCCCAACCTACAAAAATGTAAAAATCACACCCCAAAAAATCTTTGTTTTCTTACCATAAATCCTGTTACAGAATTCACCTTCACATTCTCACACTTTAACCTATGTATATTCTGTTCTTCTATAATTAAACTAGGCTCCTTTCCATTCATGTAAAAAGATATAATCATTAAATTGTATTCATTACTACTCCTTACACATATCAGGAACCAATTAAAGCCTTTATAATTATTTTTTTAACATTTTTATTTGGAATGCAGTATAACAACATTTGTAAGTCAGCTTCATGACATTTACCATCAGCAAAATTTGATTATCTATTATCTGTGCCTACTGAAGTCCAATTGTTATAGGACTGTCATATAAAATCAATATGAATGTAAATTGCAAACATAAATTCTTATATATCATTAGTATGTGTTAATAATTTTTAAAAAGCAAGTTGTGATTAGAATCTTCCATTATATTCTTAAAAACAGACATTCACTTATCAAGATTTCTCTCAAAAAAATAACAATCTAAGTGTAGATATACTTCAATATAATTTGATCAATTAACAATTCATCCCACTTTTGACACTTTTTGCTCAGAGATTATTTATGCAGATTGGTTTGATTCCAGGGCAGACTTTTTTTCTTTTTTTCTTTTTTTTACTTTTGACACATTGCACATTATCCACAAAGAGAGAGAGAAAGAAAAGAAGGAAAATATTGTCACGGATGACTATCTTCAAAAGCTGCCCACAAAAGGAAAAGTACAAACACTTATCACAATACTTGATAATAAAAAAAAATAATAAAGAAATGAATATAAAAAAATCAATTGGATAAACATATCCATAAGGTAATTATAACAGGAGAATTCCAGTCATGACAGTCATCATTACCAACACAAATTGCACAAGTATTTCATGAATTCAGTACCACACAGTTACAGCTATTCCAGATTTATACAACAGTATGAATGGACATCTGAAATCACATGCATATGAGATGATAACAATGAAACCCTAAGCATACATCATATATTACTCTTCTAGTATGAGCAGTGATTAACTAGTACATTGTGACATCATCATACCTGCCTAAGATGCAATTTCTATGAGGATAAAGAAAATATTTCTAGATGCAGCTCTCGTGAACATGACATGGGTGCTTACTGTTCTTCTTCAACAAATAGGACAAGTCTTATGCCAGTCTTGAATACTGGCCAAATTGGACTAGCCTGTTAAGGTGAGGTTCCTTACCAATTTTAGCCTAAAACTGACCATCACATCACCTTGTCAATGGAGGCAGAACCAGAGGCAGACTCTTTGGCAAGATACAGGACTAAGGGAGCTAATGAAAAGGATGGCAATCTTGGGACACATGGGCATGTGCTCCCTTTACATGTGCATCCAGATTCATGGTCAAAGTAACTATGTCATCTGACTATTAATAAAAATTTACCCATTGTTTCTAGTTACTGACCGCTCCTCCTTGCCTATAAAAGGGTCCACCACAGGGCAAAACCACACGACAAGAGTCGTTTGATTACTGTATCTACATCTTCCTTCCCTCCCCTGTCTTTTTCTTCTCTTCTTCTTCTTCTCCTTCTTAAATAATCCTCTGGTTTGGCCCAGAGTCATTGTCTGAGGTAATGCTGCCAGAATTGGTGCCGTCGGATTCTGACTCATCAACCTGTGCCATGAAAGGACGGCTTCTTTCACTCGGGCTTTCGTCCTCCTGGCTCTCCCTCTGGGGCGGTTTCCTTGGAGCCACGAGTTGGTGAACCACAACAAGGATTACAGCTGCTGATAGGATGTAGGACACGCGGTACAAATTCACGCTGCCATACAGGAGGGTCAACACAGCTAAGGAGTGTACCAAATAACCCAGCTGCTTGTAGAATCTCCTGAAGTGGAAATACAGAGAGATCATTTAGTCATTTGCTTTTCTTTAAAGTTCAGTAGAAGACTACAATAGTCGTATCTAAACATTTCAAGAACCCACCTTCAAAACTACTCCAGCTAATAGCGTACAAAAGTCAGTAACTTACTTATCACATTGTGGAACTTTCTTTTGCCAGAGGAAGCAGAGGCCTATCAAGACAGTCACTGCTACATAAAGGCTTGGATCTTGCACCAACTGTAGGTTATGACTGCAAAAAGGCATGCCAGTTAAAATGCCATCAATGGAAATTCCAGGTCATTCCAGTCAGTAATCTCAAGGGTCAAATTGTTATGGCATAATGTATATAATAGCACCTTCTAAAAATCAATAAATGTATATAATAGCACCTTCTAAAATCAATAAAAGAAGACAAAAGTATCCTTACTAACTCCATAAAACCTACCTTAGCAGCCTGCCCCACACAATGAAAGCAGGAGCATTGAGAGCACTCACAAGGAAGATCATCATCATGAGAGTCATGTGGAAATTAAGCTGCGAGAGCGCCTTGTCTGTCTTTGACCTGTTCTCGGACGTGCCAGGAATCAGCCCCACAACAATCTTCTCGATGAAGTCTTCATACAGCTTAAACACCTGGTAGCACAAGCAAGGGTTATTTCACTTTCATAATCACACTTCAGCATAAACAGATACTAAATTAATGTGAGCAAGATATAAGGCAATGTTCAACTGGACAGAAAGCCATGCAGTGTTTCTTCTCTGGAAGCTTATCTACATTGTAAAGCTAATGGAAGCTAATGTATACAGCACTGTTGCCTTGGAGAGAGTTTTGTTTATGATTCTTTCCTTTAGTAATGTGATTCTACTTTATCAAGTGTCTATTTTGGTTATCTATACAAAATAAGTTCTATTTTTGGAAAGGTTATGGGTCAATTCAAAATTAGACTACAAAAAGAAAAAAAAAAAGATAGCAATATGCAATATGTTCTTTCTTACTTTTCTTTCTTCAGGTGTATGTACAGAGATATGCTTCTCGTTCAGGATGAGTTTAGAAAAAAAAAAAGAAAAAAAAGAGGGGGAAAAAAAAAAAAACTAACCTCACACTATCGTAAAAGATCACAATCTGGGGAGGGGGCAATGATTAAGAGTACATTCACCTTGATGAAATAAAAAAAGCCGGCCAGACATAGTGCCAAAGTCCCGCAAGTAGAATAAGCCAAGGAGATGAGAGCCACGCCTAGCAACACGGGCACTCGCGACAATCCCGACATTGCCAAATCTGCAATCATATCACCTCCTCCTAAGCTACGTCCCAATACTCTGCAACATTAATCAAGCCAGATATTAAGGTCACATCATCACTGGGATGAGAGTTACACTAGTAGTATTTAAGTCTAGATAGGAAGTGGGGGGGGGAAGGGGAGATGTAGGGAAGGCAAGAAGAAAGAGGAGATTGGGAAGGGAAGAGGGAAGGGATGGGGAAGTACAGGAAAAGGGTGGAAGAGGTAGTGAGGGAAAGAGGAAAGGGAAGGGGAGGTTGGAGAGAAAAGAGGAAAGGGAAGTAGGTGCAGGGGAGAGGAGAGGAGAGGAGAGGAGAGGAGAGGAGAGGAGAGGAGAGGGGAGGGGAGGGGAGAGGAGAGGAGAGGAGAGGAGAGGAGAGGGAGAGGAGAGGAGAGGAGAGGAGAGGAGAGGGAGGGGAGAGGGAGGGGATACCAGATAATGC